TTTTTTTATAATTCTAAAAATAGAATTCGTAAAATCTATTATAGATAATAAAAATACTTATATAAATTTAGCCTATATTAATAATAAATTAATTAAAATACTCTTTATAACTTATTCTTAAGCTTAATTTTACGATAGTTTTACGTAGTCTAAATATTTTACCTTTAAAATATTAGAAACGTAAGAAAAAAAATTAATTTATTTAATAAATATACTAAAACTTACTTTTAATAAAAATAAACTTTTATAAGGCTTTTATCTAAAGTATTGCGTTTCTAATAGTAAGAAGTTAGTTTTATTATAAGATATTATACGGATTATAAAGATTAGCCCGTAATAAAAAACTATCTACTTATAAAGAGATTACGTATCGTACGTAACGTTATCTAAATAACTCGACGTATAGAATATAATAAAAGATATTTAATAATTTTTCTTTTTTCTAAAAAAATACCAAATATTTATAAAAAAAAAAGCCTATAAAAATAGCTTAAATAAAAAATACGCTATTTTAAAATTAATTTTCTTTTAAACTCTAGACGGTATTAAATTTTTTATATTTCTTCGTTTAGCGCGATTTACTACTATCTTATAGGCCGGCGCGATTTATTAGTACGTCTATCGGTACGTCTATTTATATAATAAAATTCTTATCGTAGCTTATCTATTAGCTAAAAACCTTGATATCTAAAAATAACGCTTTATAAAGATTTATTTAGGAAGGCGCTAAATCTAAGATAGATATAGATAGATATACCGATAGACGTACCGATAAATCGCGCCGGTTTATAAGATATCTACCGCTACGTCTATTTATTATACTTATTAGGCTTAAGATTAGGGCTAGTATAGTATTATTCTTAGATATTAAGTTTTTTAGCTAATAGATAAGCGACGATAAAAATCCGGTTATATCTCTTTTACGTAGGCGCGATTTATTAGTACGTCTACTAGTACGTCTACTAGTACCTTCTTTAAACTTAGTACCTTTCTAATATAGATCTTAATAAAGCGTTATTTTTAGGTATTAAGGTTTTTAGCTAATAGATAAGCTAGAATAAGAATTTAGTTACGTATTAGTAGACGTATTAGTAAACGTACTAGTAAATTACGTCTACGTAGAAGATAGTAGACGTAGTAGTAAATATAGTAGTAAATCGCGCCGAACGAAGAGATATATTATAGAATATAATATATCTAATATTTTATACTAAATAACGGTATTATAATAATAAAAGAGTAGTTTTCTTATATATATATTATAAATAGCTATATTTTTATAAATCTATAAAAGAGCTATATTAAAAAAATATTTATTTATTTATTTATATAAAGTTTTTAAATATTTTACTTTATATTTTAAAGCTTTTTATTAAGAAATAAAGATATAATAGATTTATTTTTTAAAAAAAAAACTAGGTATTTTAGTAAATAATATCTACTAGAATACTCTTTTATATTATATTTATTAAAGTATCTAGTTTTATCTATTTTAAACTCTATAAAAAAGTATATTAAAAGTTTTAAAATTACTATATATTACTAGGCATTATAAATATGTACTATAGTAGATATAAGCTATAGTTATTATAAAGTATTTAAGGGGTGCCTAGAAAGAGCGTAAAGAAAAGAAAAAAAAACGTCTTAAACGTCTTTCGCCTTTTATCTCTTTTCTTCTATTTATAAACGGCTAGAGGTCTTTCCCCCTTTCTCTCTTCTTCCTTCCCCCTCTTCCCCTATCTTTTCTTCCTTTTCCCGCCCGTAAGATACCGTATCGCGATATAAACTTAAGCGGACGTAGAGCGGTAGCTAGCTTATACGTTATAAGAATTTCGAGGTTTATTCTCGTCCGCCCGTAGAGAGGTTACGGTGCGAAGGCGGTATCCCTTCGTGGTTCACGAATTTCAAGCCATTTCCCATCTCCGTGGTGCTATTCCAATGTTGGGGTGGAACCAGGCAGAACACTCGCTTCTCTCGCATCGGAGCGTGTAACCTCGCCAATCAAGTCGCGCGATTCTACCACGACAAACCCAAACCCCAAAGGCGGTGTGCTCTAAACCGCGAAGGGACAAAGGCGGTAGGCGGGAGCGGAGGCGAAAGTAAAGGGAGCGAAGCGTTGGAAAAACGGAAGGGCCGGGCGAGCGCTAAATTGGGCGAGAGAATTCTGTCTCACATCTTTATATTATAGGATAGTATAATTATTGTTCTATACTTAGAATAACGAAGTAGTTATTTTCGGTTGGATTAATAGGAAATAGATGCTTTAGAAGTAGTAAGGAGGAATAATAGTTTAAGTAGTTATACGTAGAGAAAGGGTATTGGAACACTGGTAAACGCCAAGGGGAGCAAACGTAAGGCTTTACGCTGGAGACGACTAAAGCGGATAAGGAAAATATGTTACAGAAACACTACCCAAACAAGAAGAAAAGGCCCGCCCTACCAACTCCGGGGATCATGCATAAGGTGAGTCTTGTCCCCAGATCAAGAAGTTGTAGATCGATGCTGGCGAGAGAAGTCTATAGGAGCCGTAACGTAAAACGAAGAGGAAATCATGCTACGCAAACTTCGTAAAGTGGATCGACGTTTCTAACGGACTGGCGCCAGGCGATGCGTCGCAAAATGAGGAATGGTCCTTGGGAAATACTGATACTCCTATGAGCTCTTACTGGAGCTACACTCATGAACGAGGGAGTTCTCCGGCCAATCGTAATCCGTTTGATGCCTGATTATTCGTTAGTAGTCGTCGGATGATAATATGGAATATAGGGTCATACCATCGGGTCAGATTAATGTTACTGTATGGCTCTGGATGATTGGCAATGTATTCTGTGGTGGGGTAGTCAGGAGGGTCACACGTCATGAGTTCGTTATCCTCATCCTGGTAGATGCGGATGTAATCGATTCTCATGGTGGCCGGCAGCGTGGAAGCAATGCCAGTGAGATTGATCGATGAGAAGCTATCGGACATGCCGAAATTAATGATGAGCGACATGGGCTCCTCTGGAATCACTCTTTGAGCAACATTTCCGTTGGGGCCAATCGCTCTTGCGTCGAGTGTCCACATGGGCTCATCGCCAACAAACCATGTAACAAATCCTGAATCGCCGGGAGTGTAGTCAAAAGCATACTTCTGGTACGCGTTGCCGTCGTACCAATCGTTGTTCAGGTTGGACAGGCCGGAAATAGCCTGCTGGTATGGGCCTCCAGCATAGGGGTTGATCTCAGTGATGGAGTGGTCGTAGACCTCGAAGAAATCTGTTGCTGTTAGTGGATGAGAACAAAGCAATCAATGGCAGACACACCATAGTCTGGCTGGTACCAAATATCAAATGGCGCCAACTGGCAACTCTGCGAAACAACACCGATGTAGTCCCCCGAGGCCAGAGGCGCGTTACTTGCTTCGATGACATCGATTTCAGGTGCAGATCTCGACTTTCCCGGGTTCGGGTGGTCTTCTCCGTCACAGGTGCAAGCAGGCAACCTCATTCCTGGCAGGTAGTTGATACCGTCAGTCGAGCTCTGATTGGCAGTGATGCCAGCGTCACAGGTGTCCGAGTAACTGTATGGCCACATGCCGTCTGTTGTGGCAGCATATCCTGGTCGACCCAAGTTACCCATGGCCCAAAAGCCTGGCCAGAAACCGACAGTGTCTCCTCGGCCGGGGAGGGAAATGGACGCCTCGAGGTGACCGCCTTTGAAGCAGAGCTTGTTCCACGACTGGAGCATGCCGGACCGATACTCCAAATCGTGATTTGCGAAGGCCTCGAAGCGAATATTGAGTGTTCCATCCTTGGTAGTTACCGCATCGGGATCGTAGTACTGCAGGCTTGTTAGCTTGCGCGCGAGAATGTAGGTGGTCGTGACAAACCTCAAGATCCTGTGTCACTCCGTACCATAAATCAACAGCTTGGAAATAAGGATCGTCCTTGTCGTAAAAGGTCCGACCGTCGGTATTGAACTCGTCCGAGAACTGCGATGGTTGTCAGACAACAGGGTTGCAACGTGAGCAGTGCATCCATACCACAAGAACTTGCTTCTTGCCCGAGTAATAGGATTTGCGAGACTTGACGCTATCGGGCGTGTCGGGATCGATCAAGCCGTGTCGAATGTTTTTCAGCAAGTCTTGTTGGACGTCGATGCAATTGGGGTCCTTTGCGCAAGCATTTCCCGTTGGGTCGATAAGCCTCTGCGCAAAGGTGCTGTGGGAAACGGTTAGCGTAGAGCGGGCAATGCTGCAATCTCAGCCACGTACAGAATGGGATAGCCGATGAAGAGCATCAGCAGGCCCAGGGAGAGCAAAGCAAGACCGCCGACATTGAGCATGCCACGCCTGTTCCATATGTTGCAGTCGCGAGGCTCTTTGTCGGCCGGGTCCGGCTCGTGTAGCCAGTCATCCTTCTCAACGTCCTCGGGAAACAGCAGGAGGCCGGCAGAGGGCGTTATGTTGTACTTTTCCGAGACAGTCTGGGTGTTGAGATTCAACTCGTCGTCACTGCCAGCCCTGGACGGGGTCCTTGACTCGTCAAAGGGCGAATAGAAAGGGCCGTGACTTTCACCCGACTCGGAGCTCCAGCTGGTCCTCCGCGACGAGTAGCCGGGCGACTCTTCGTCACGGAACCTTCGCGTGCGCGAGGGGCGCGGCGGGATGAGGAACTCGGCGGACTCTTGAGCAGGGCCGGGCTGGTTGTACACGGGCCGCGTGTCGACGGTCAAGGAGCGCGACGAGTCCAGGCGCGCCGGGCCTGGGCGCTCGGCGGGAGCGTCGGTGCCAATGTCGGTGGTGCTGGAGTTGAGGCGGATATGCGGCGGCGCATTCTGCGCAGGCGAACCTGGTGGGGACATGAAGCGAGCGTGGTGGGCGCAAGGCCAGGCGAGCGGCGAGCGGCGATGGGTGACGAGGCGCGCTTGTCGGAGCGTTCGCGGTTGCGGTCGCGGTCGCGGTTGCGGTCACTGGCAAGAAGCGCGCAAGGGACGGCTGAGGCGCTCGAAATATTCCTGGGCCGAAAGGGGCGGTTGCTGGGTTATTGGAGGATGGAGCAGGGCCTGTTGGGCTTTGTTGATCGAGAGCAGGGCAGAGGGCGAATAGAAAGTGGCAGCAGCCGGAACTGGGTCGTGATCTAAGATCTGCGGCGACCAGCAGCGGCACATTCCCCTGGCTCAACGCAAGCAAATCAGGCCGGCCGGGCAGCACGACATGCGAGGAGCTGCGCAAGCACTCGGACACGCCCTGTCGCTATGCCATCATCATCGCCCGCCCAACGCTCCCATCAGCACGTCCGGGTGCCTCTGCTGGCTCGTGTGCTCGTGTGCTCGCCCGCCGTCTCTCCAATCGCGCCGATCTCCCGCAAGCCGTGAGCCCGCCACCCGCAGCACAAAGACATGATGCCTCGTCCGGACCGCGCGTTTCCATGCCGCCATGCACCCCTGAGCCAGCCCATGTCACTGCGTCAAGGTTTCATCGTGCCCGTTCACAGGAATGCCGCCCATACTGGCCTGGCGCAGCAGCCCGTCCGTCCTGTCGTGTCCAAATGAGCCGCCGTTTCTGCTTGCGACCGCGTTCCCCACACCGGCCGCTGGCCGTGCAGTGCTAACCGGTGGAATGCTGCTTGCACACCCATGTCCGACCGCACTCGGCCGGCCATGGGGCCGAACGCACCCGGCCGCGGAGCCGTCACTACGTCTGCCCGTGATGGTCTGCATCATTTTCACAATTGTATTCCTTCTGCCGAACTTCTACTGTAGTCTTCACGACTCGATGGCCACTGCCTTCAAGCCCACAATTCTCCCGCCCTTCTTGTCCAGGCTCACTACGTAGTACTCTGCCCTCGTACTGCCATGCTGCACTCTGAAGATGGCGACATCGTGGCTTCCGGCCTGCTTTACCGCATTCAGCACCTTCGCATAGTGACCCTTTGGATCGAATTCGCTCTGGCTGATGCTGGACGCGTCTGAACCGTGTCCGATCAGCTTGGCGAATTCATCTGAGCGTGGCCATCATGTCAGCGGTCTGGTCGCCTGGGCAGCGGAGAAGATACGCGTGCTGACCTTGGGAAGGCAGGGACTCGGAATTCCACTTGAGGCTGACGGGCTCGAACGGTTCGTCGGCGTCGGAGATGTAGTATTCCTCGACCTGCAGTAAAACTTGCGGCACCTCGGAATCCACCGCCTTGGTCTTGATTGACTTGGACTGAGCCGAGGGCACCGAGCCCGTGTCCTGGTTGGCCTTGTCCAGGAAGGCGGCGTAGTCTTCGTCGGAGGCCATGGAAGATGAGTTGGAGAAGGGGCGTCTGCTTCCTGTGATGCGAGCCCTGGAGGACGCTTGGAGGATGGCAATAGTAGATCCGGGGCGGCGTGGTGGAGCAAGCGCGCGGGAGCAGGCGTGCGCAAGAAGAAGCGGACTGCGGCGGATTCTGCAGGCGTATGACATTGCCCCACGTTCCCCGCGGTGCGGCGAAGGTTCCAAGATTTCTCTCGTCTGTTGCCCGAGGCGGGCGCCGAAAAAGCTTGGTACGTCATCACGCCCCAGCTCTGGCCGTGGCCCCCGTCAGCCTGCCCACGTGCACGCTGGCCGGTCGTGACCTGGCAAAGGCGTGAAAGACGTGCAGCGCGTGCAGCGCAGTGCCCTCGAGCCGGCGACATGCAGAGTCACGTGACCGACAGCGGCGTGTGACAGCTCACTTCCAGCAGCACCTGGAGAGCGTCCTCCGCTTTGCGTGATCTGCCCGGACCAGCAGCAAGCACCTTGAGCGCGTCCTCTTCTATCCCGCCCGGGCCAGCAAAGACACGTCAAGAGCGCCCTCCGCTCATCCAGTATCAGGGGGCTTGACGCTTCCCCTCAAAAATTTCATCGAAAAGCTGGCATCTGAACGGTGGCGATGATGACGGTTTTACATTCGCACCACACCACCCGAACGTATGGATCAACCAGTTTGACTACGGTCGTGTCCTCAGCGTCGAGGGCGCGGAATATTTGGATTTCTCGGTCGAACCTTGTGGAGACAAACCGCCCTACCCCTGATTCTGACGTTTCCCGCTCGCCTACCAATCCCAGTTCTGCGTGAATCACCGGCAAAAATCCCATCATCACTCGATTCCAACGACGAGCAAGCTCTGTTGTTTGGCGAGTTCGCTGAACATCTGGCCGACAGATCGTACACCCAAATTCAGCCTTGTTTGAAAGAGGGGTTGATCAACCGATTCACTCAGCTTGAATCGCGCGTCCTGTTGGCATGATAGGAAAGTCTAAGGTACCTTCACCTTCCTTAGTATGCGCCATGGACCTGACAACAATCACCATAAGAAGTAGACAAGTTTACCCCTTCCGCGCTTAGCGCACATTCTCAGTGTGTATCAATAAGGAAACGAGCCTAAGCTTGGGTATTCTCTTAAACGTATCGGTAATTACTTATCCTTGACAAGGTCCTGTCTGTGTGGCTTCGGCGATTGCCAGAACTTCGAGTATATCGTCCTGGAGAGGATGGACTCAAGAGATTTATTTCGACTAGTTGGTAGACCTGTACTATGGCCATTAACTGTCATCCCGTTACTACTTCGTTGATCGAGAAGTGATTTACTTGGCATCGCTACCGACCGCTTCGGTCTCGATCCCTTCCTATAGATGGAATCAAGGAGTCGTCCGAACAAGGTATAGCCTGGCCAAACATTACCCCTTACATGTTCTTGAAGAACAGAGCCCTACATCCCATCGACATTGCCATGAGCTGACAGTTCTGACAGACGTGCTTGGTCAAATCCCACCGCATCCTTTTGATTTCGCTGGTCAGGTCGGATGGGGACCGAAGCCCATGCTTAAGATGGATATCGACAAACCACCTTCCAATGACTCAGCCAGTTCAGGCCCATCACCGAAGAAGGCCAGATTAAACCACAATGTCCTCGACGATGGCCTCCGCAATCCTCTCTCGGATACCAATCATGTCCTCCAGCAGGACGGTCTCAACAATGGTCTTCACAATGCCCTCCAGGATGCCCCCACGACAGCCTCGATAATGCCTTTAATAATGGTCTCCGCGATTCTCTCCTAGATGCCAACGATTTCCTCCACTATAGTCTTCACGATGCTGTCCCGGATGCCAATCAAGGCCACGACGATACCCCCACAGCTGGCCATAACCTCCCAACACTTGACCCTGATAAGCTGGAGGGAGATAGAGCGACGGAAATCCAAGCACGGGAAGGATATGACCCCATCAAAAGCGATAACAAGCCACATACGCTCCTCTCGGGGCCTCTTGTGGCAGTCTTTCGCCAGCGCTGCCTTGATTTTATCAGACTCCTTTTACCGCAGGGGGTGAAGATGTGTCTTCCGCCAAAGTCATCTTAAGTAGCATGCAATTCAATTTTGTGATACTATCTGCACGTCTAATGCAAGTGGCCTCCGTTAAACATAGTCTCCCGCGCCTGCCGTCTCTTGGCTAGCCTTCTGGATAGCCATATGCAACCCGTCCGCCGTGAGCTCCCCACTGAATGCATCATTCCTTGCTCGCATGGCGGAGAAAGCAACTGCTTCAAGCCCATCTGGAGTTACCAATACAATCGCATTTGGGTCTCTCAGAGATCCACCTTCCCTGGAAATGCGGCTCTTGAATTGGTCTAAGAGCGAAACCTTCTGGTCAGGCAGCAGCCCGCAGAGGCACGTGACCTGCAGCGGCAGTGTGATAGCTCACCTCTTGCAGCCGCGGCGCTTCTGGGCAGCCGTAGCGACCGAACAAGCGTCGGCGTTCCGGGCCTGACGGTGGAGTCGGAGGAAAAAGCGCCATCTCATGTGACCCGGGCACCACTTGGGCGGCGGAGGAAATTGAGCCATGGCGATGATTTGTGTGGGTATTCGAAGCAGGTATCTCGACGTAGATGAAGGTCAAAACATCCTTTCCCCATACAGAGGTGATGAATGTAATTGCTGAGATTATACAAATGCATCCGGATATGGGATCCTACTACGTACGTAGTGTGCGAGATGAATATATCTAGGTAGGGTCAGTTCCTTTCTGCACCCACTGTGCGGGCGCTTCGCTAGCTCGGCACGACAGGCTCTCAGCAGCCCCTTTGCAAGCGCCGGTCCGCTCCACCATCTCCGCTGGCAGGTTCCCACTGCGACCGGCCTGGGCCTCGCTTTTGTTCTAGCGCCGTTCCATGTGGGGAGTGCCTCCGTATCCACCGAGATTCGTCGACCGCGGTTCCCGCTCGTGCCACTCTTGTCCCTGAGACCCTCGACTTCTGAGTTTGTGATGAACCAGAGCTTAATGTCGAACGACTTTGCTGTCACGCCGTGGCTGAGCCTCCCAACGCCTGCCTTGGTTCCCAAGCACCACCACACACCCACCCGCCGTGCAATGGTGACGCCAACGCCCGTCAACCGATCCGATGCGGTCTGACTCTGGCCGCATGACTGTCTGCTGTGCTGTGCATGCCGCCATGCATCGCCGTGCTGGGAGAGCGATGCACGAAGTGCCTATAGGCCTTGCCCTGACGCCCTGTGGTGGCCTCTTCCGCAAGCCTCCACTGCGGCGCTCCATACTCTCGACTCCTAAAACCCGCTCTGGGACATGCCGCCCTTTGTGTGCAGCACTGTCTCATTGCTCGCGGCTGTTGCCAGGGCCGCGAAAGTGCATGCACGCCCAGGCGGGGCGGGCCGCCCAGTGAGCGGTTGTAAAGTCCGAGTCTTGCGCCAATCTGCAAGCTTTGGACTGGTGCCGACATGTATCTACATACGTACGGCCTTTGACGATGTCAGATCGGTCTTTGACGATGTCAGATCGGTCTCGAATATACTTCTTCTTCGAGAACGTAGACGGCTTTTTGGTCGTCATTGTTCGGCTGCAGCCTAGCGATTGTATGCGACTTCTCCAGATACTGTGCAGACATCCGATTGCCGCCCATTCGTTGTTTGAACTCATCGCAGCAGCAGGTGGTCGAGCGTAAGAGCTTTGGATCGTCACAGCCACACGCAACAGCCGCACAGATCGGGGCCCCAATCGCAAGCGTCCCGCACGCATCGACCTGGTTTCGGTTGCTCTGAGAAACAGCCCCGTCATTTGCTTGTGAGGCTCAGCGACAAGCAAGCTACAGCCTGCGCCCTGACGAACAAGACGGCGATTCTCGATGCACCATCCCTCTTACTACAAGCTCACCTGTGGTGTTGCTGGAGGTTCTCAAAATAGAAGCCTTGGGCCAGAACGGTTGGGCGACGGAAAGATCGAAACCCCAGGAACCAGGCTGCACCCAGAGCGCCGCACCGCAAGCGCAACTTGAACGCTGCCTAGATAAACCACCGTTCGAGCGGCAGCATTATTACGAGCGCGCGCCATAAGGGGGCGCCGCTGGCGCATAGCGGCGGTCACGGCGGATGCGGAAGGAGGCAGAGCGTGGGCCCTGGGGGGCTTGTAGGGGCGCCAGGCGAATCTTCATGTGCGTAGGGCGGGTGGGGGCGGGCAGAGGGCGCCGTGGTTATATGACGGGGCGGGCGCACAGGGATGGCCAGCGACATGGTTCCTGCCGGCGGGCGGCGATAAAGCACGTTGGGGCCAGCGCGATGACAGGGGACGGGGAGCGCGTCATGCAGCAGCGCGCAGTGGCCGATCCCGCCTTGAAACGAGGGCGGTGGCACGCAGCACGGCGTGGCCAATGGCGGCGCAGGAGCGCGGTCGGTCGCAGCGGGCAGGCTGGGCGGGGCGCCCGTGGCGACCGAAAGCAGGCGTCAGGACAAGAGGCTGGCTGGCCGCGCCGATCCGCAGCGATGGGGGGGGCGCGCGTTACAGCCGACGAGCAGCAGGCGGCCGTTCTGCGCTTGGCCGTGGGCGGCGTAGATCTCGCACAGAAAAGCCACCTAGTGCAGGATGCGCGCACAGGGCTCCGCGAACAAGGGTCGGGCAGGCCAAGGCGTGGGCGGCGTTCCTGGGGTCGCGGCAACGTTGGCGGAAAAAGAAAGGCGAGCAGAAGCGGTGCGACGCGGCCGTCTCGCGTGCTGGCCGCCGTCAACCCAAGCTCCACCGCGCCCCGCGGGCCCGGCGAAACGGTCGCGCTGCTGCTTGGGCGGCGCTGCTGCGAGGGCGCGGCGCGCAGATTCGTGCGGCGGCGGCGGCGGTGCGCCTGTCAGCTGCGCGGCGCCGGCTGCTGCACCCCGGCCGGTGTATTGTTCTTGTGCTGCAGCGGTGTGTGTGGTGGGCGTGGTGGGCGACACACACACGGGCGCGGCTGGGTGCCGACGGGGGGGCAGTGCGCGGGAATGGCTCTGCCCTGCGCGGTACCGTGGGAAGGCAGATTGAGAGCAGCCGCGCCGCCTCCGCTGTGCTTCCCTGCACGCCAAGCGCCTAGCGCGAGCGCTCTGAATCGCCTTTCGAGCCCGCTGAGAAATCTTCCCCTAACCCAGCCCTCATGTAATGCAATGGGGCATCTCCTCTCCCGGCCCTCACTCGAGTCCCGTCGCCTCCATCTCCCGCGCCCTCTGCCTCGCGCCTCCCCATCCCCATCCCCATCGCCCCCTTCCCGCCCGCCCAGCACCATTCCCGCCGCCGCTGCTCAGCGCCCGGCCTGCGCTTTCTGCACCGCCTAGCTGGCACTGCTGCTGCCATTGCGTGCCGCCGCCCGTGCGAGCTGGCGTTTCGTTGCCCAAGCCGCCGCTGGACGAGTCGCGACCCGACAAGCCTGCGTCGTCCGCGACTCTCGGCTCGCCGCCCGCTGCTCAAGACCGCGTCTCTGTGGCATCGCATCGCGAGCACGCGCCCGCGAGTCTGAGCGCCTGCCCTTGCGAGAGCCGACGCCCGCCCGCCCTCTAACCACCACGGCACCGTTCGCGCTACATGGCCACCCACCAACAACCATCCCCGACGGCGGGACTGCCCACCCACCATGGCCCACCCGGCCACCCGCAGCCTAACGGCCACCCGCCCTTCCCGGCCCAGGCCAAAGGCGGCATCTCGACAGTCCTCACCCAAACGAACGAGCAGACTTGGCTCGCCCTGGGTACGCACTCAGCCCTCCGTCCCCTTCTCCCCTCGCTCGCGGCTGGCGCCTACTGACCGACGTGCAGGCAATCTGTCCGAGATGATGAGCGACCTCGACGGCGCTCGCCAGTGCTACGACCATGCTCTGCGCCACAACAACTGGTCCGTCCCTGCCATGCAGGCCATCTCGTGCATCCTCCGGAGCATGGAGCAATTCCCCGCCGCCGTTGAGTACCTCAAGAATATCCTGAAGATTGATCCGAACAACGGCGATGTCTGGGGCAGCCTTGGTACGTCCCCCGCCCTCGTCGCGTCCCGTATACCTGTTCTCACCGCTTGTCTGCAGGCCACTGCTACCTCATGATGGACGACCTTCAGCAGGCCTATTCAGCCTACCAGCAGGCACTCTACCATCTGCAGGATCCGAAGGTATGTGGCCGGTCTTCTGCTGGCTTCGTGTGCTCGCTGACGTATACATTAGGAGCCCAAGCTTTGGTACGGTATCGGCATTCTGTACGATCGCTATGGTTCGCTCGAGCACGCCGAAGAGGCGTTTTCGCAAGTCATGCGTATGGAGCCGAGCTTTGAGAAAGCGAACGAGATCTACTTCAGGCTCGGCATCATCTACAAACAGCAGCAAAAATTTTCTTCTAGCCTGGAGGTACGCTCACTTCAACTGACGACTGACTGCGCCGCAACTCGGAAGTTGACCTATCGCAGTGCTTCCAATATATCGTCAACGATCCTCCTCGGCCGCTGACGGAAGAGGACATCTGGTTCCAGATTGGTCACGTGTATGAACAGCAGAAGGATGTAAGGGCGTCGACTCGTCCGAGCGAGAGTGCATGGCTGATTTCCTCCAGTATGAATCGGCGAAGAACGCCTACAGACGCGTGCTCGATCGGGATCCGAATCATGCCAAGGTCCTTCAGCAGCTGGGTTGGCTCCACCATCAGCAAAGCAGTAGCTTCGAGAGCCAGGAGCGAGCGATTGAGTACCTGGAGAAGTCTGTTGCGTCGGGTAAGATCGTGCACTCGTTCCCAATTGGTGCCCGCGTGGTTGACTGACACCGAACTGCAGATCAAAGCGATGCCCAGAGCTGGTATCTGTTGGGTCGTTGTTACATGTCGCAGCAGAAGTACCCGAAGGCGTACGAAGCTTACCAGCAGGCTGTCTATCGTGATGGCCGGAACCCGACCTTCTGGTGCTCGATTGGCGTCCTCTACTACCAGATCAACCAATACCGTGATGCGCTCGATGCTTACTCTCGCGCCATTCGCCTGAACCCCAACATCTCTGAGGTCTGGTACGACCTCGGAACTTTGGTGAGTTTGTTTTCCACATACACAACAGCGCCTAGCGCGTGGCACTGACCAGTTCTAGTATGAATCTTGCAACAATCAAACTGCCGACGCGTTGGATGCGTACCAACGTGCAGCTGATCTTGACCCTTCAAACGTGCACATCAAGGCACGCCTGCAGCTGCTGCAGAACGGCCAACCGACGAATGGTATGCCGAATCAGAACAGCGCGCCGTTGCCGCAGGACGTTCATCCTCAGGCCTACCAGCCAGGAGCTATGAGTGGTCCGCCGCAGCCTCAATGGGGTGGCCCTCAGCCTTCTCAGCCTGCTCCTCAACAGCCTTTGCCTCCGGCCGCGCTTGGTGGTGGCAATGACTGGAACAGGCGCCTTGCTGGCATTCAAGACCCGCAGATGCCAGCGCAGCAGATCGGTCCCTACGATCAACGCGATCCTGCGCTCAGACCAGGGGCGTCAGCTCGCCCCGCTAGTCCGAGGCAAGAGCCCCCCAGGCAGTTCCAAGAGCCGCCTCGACTGAATGCTGGCCCAGGACCGGCTCGCCGAGGCCTTTCTCCGTCGCCAAAGAGCCATAACACTGCCCCCAATCTGTACCAGGGCGGACAGGCGAATCACCCCCCGCAGCAACAACCGCCACAGACCCAACAACCGCCGCAAAGCCAGCCGAACAGGATCGCCAATCCCAATTATGGAGCTCATGCCTCAAATGGACCTGCACCGCCGGCCACGCTGAATGGTCCGCCGCCCCCAGGACCTGGACCGGTGCCTCCCTACGGTCGCCCTGCAAGCCCTCCTCCCGAAGTTCGCCCCATTATTCAGAGCCAGGCGGCATCTCCGAACTCGCACTACGCTCACCAGAATTACCAGCACCACCCTGACCCTGCAGCTCCCGGAGGCATCGCGAGTGGTGCCCCTCCGCCAGCTTCAGCTCTTGCTGCCGCCGAGGCCGCCGCCCGTGATCGGGATGAGAGGACTCCAACTGCTCCAAAGCGCCTACGGGAGTGGGAGGATGACAACAGCCCTGCTCACAAACCTCCTGCGAACGACGAAAAGCGCCAGCGCCTTGACGACGATGAACCACCTCGCCGCCCCTCTCCGCCTGAGAGGATGGCTTCTCAAACCTCGCAGGTACAGCGAACCCCCCCGGATGCAGTTGAGGCACGTCGCCCCGAAGAGCAGAGACACATCAACGATGGATATCACCCTTCGGAGGCGGCGCACCATCCGCCTTCCCTTCCTGCCATTCACCCCCCGCCTCCACCGCAAACGCCTCATACGGCGGAACAGCCAAAGGAAGAGCGTAAGGAGCAACACGAGCCGGCCGCTCGCAAGATGGAGGTTGATGAAGACTACGACGACAGTGGCGATGACGAAAAGCGGGTACAGCAACCCCCGCGCTCCGAACGGAACAGTCCACGCAGCGCAAGCGTCACCAATGGCGTAAATCACACGCCTACTCCGATGGACACGAAGCCGCCGATGTAACTGTTTGGAAGAGATGGCATTGTGCATCGCGCATTGTTTTAGCGCAATCTTCTATGGGCATGTTCCTTCTTATTTCGTTCTCCTCTTTCCACTACCATGCGATTAATCTTCTTCTGTTTAAGTGCAGTGACCACTCCTGTTCTTGTCATTCAGCGCAAGTGATGCGGACAATCAATCGTAGGGAAGTAGGTCCCTGGCGTAGGTAGCGAATAAGGGAGCTCTGATTGCTTTGAGTGCTTGCTCATCAGTTGTTTGGGGCGCTTTGCGGTGGTGAGCAAAAAGGCGGATGTTTCAAGGTCCTCGCTTTCTCGCGAGCTGTGTGCTGGATTAGTGTTGTTGTATAGAGCGATATCCCCAGCGTTACTTATCCTCTGTTCTTTCATTGTTTCAGTTATGGTTAGCTTGACCAACGTCTCCGTCACGAGAAGATGCCTATCATCATGCGACGACGCTGTATCACATGATGACATCGCATTGCTACCTACAAATCATATCGATCTTGTACACACGACCTTGTGGGTGGTTCTAGCCTGCATTCCGTTTTCGAGATGTCAAATGACGGGACAGGATGCTCAAATGGCCAAGGATTGCTGCCATTGTAGATGCCAGCAAGTATACTTGCGAGGCCACACCGGAGCGGATTGCAAAATTCTCCTTGCTCATTCTGTCATCCCAAAGATCATACTATACTCCCGTGGGTAGTTGGAAGCTACGTCCGAGTGCTGCTACTAATCTAAGGCCTAGACATATTTGTTTTGAATGCCTAAATATGAAGAACGTTGCTCACGGGACACACTGTAGCTCTGAGGACGGCAAACCCCACATTTGGTAAGGTATTACCCCAGATCCACAAAGCTAAAGAAGACCTACGCTATGGCGATCGTGAGCCCAATGGATGTTTGTGGGTCGGCTTGTAGGTCGGTTCCGTGTAGGTGGACCTGATATGCGCATTCCGAAGTATGTACATTCAAAACAGTGAAGGATTTGATATATCCACTTGCAGGCCCCAAAAAGGCGTAAAGCATATACGAGCGCAAACATCTTTGCGGGATGCGAGCATGTGCGAGTAAATTTGCATAGAGACGAAAGCGGATCGAACGGTAAAACTAAAGCTATGCCAACCCTTGCATTGCGACCAGAACTGTCTACCGCTTCTCCACCTGTCAGTTTTCTCTTCCCCCATCGGGTTGTCAGCCGACTTCGACAACCAAGAACGCCTAGATGTAGATGGGTATCTTTGTGTCTTCGAGTGCATTCCTTGGCGTTACATCATTAAAAAGCAACCTCAGCCGTGAAACGCCAAAAACAAGGATATAGCCAATTTTAACAGTGTGCAAGAAAGAGAGGTGTGCAACAATACAAGAGCAGAAAGCGATACCCTGAAGGCAGGGCGTGCGGATTGGTGATCACCAACGCCGTAAGCCGGCAGTGAAGACATGTTCTACTCGGCCGTGGAGTATTCGTCGTAGAAGTCATCGTACATGCCGACTCCAGTGACATCAGATAGAGCGTCCCAGATGCTCTTTCGAGGATCTGTTAGGAGCGTCTTTGATATAATGAATTGCCTTGGGCCAGAAAGCCACAGACGGGCAAGAAAACCGGGACTAGACTGTTCTGCCGATGGCCTCTGTTGCTCGTTGGCAAGAGAAAGCTGGTCTGGGCCCGGGTTGGCATGGCTGACCGAGGCAAGATGAGAAGCTTCTCTTGCAGGCTCTTCGGGCTTCACGGTGACTTCGTCAGGCTTCTCGACGATCTCGGGCTTCTCGACAACTTCTTCAATGCGGGCAAGAACAGGAAAAGGATCACTCGACCCCCTTGCGTGGATACCAGGGAGGTTGCGGGAGCGGCGAGAGCTCTTTGGCCTGAGGTTGCCATCTTCCAAATTTAGGAAGGCCGAGATGTCGGCCGCCAGCTGGTGTGCCTCGCCCAGTAGGTTGGGATCCACAGCACCGGAGAACTTTTCTCTACGCTCACGGAACTTTTCATCCATCTCGTGCCACTCTTCAGTCCACCGCTCCATGCTCTGCTTGAGAACGTCGCTGCCATCCTGGCCCATATGCAGAGCGGATTTGACCTCAATGGCCATAAGCTGGAGTTTGAGCGACATGAGTTCGGTGAAGTCGGACTGCAGGTCCGTGCGCAAAGACTGGTTCTGGGTGCGGAGGGATTCGATCTTGGAGCGGAGAGCGGCGACTTGGGCCTGAAGGATGTCGTTTTGAGATCGGAGCGACTTGTTCTGGGCCTTGAGGTCGTCGTTCTGGGTCTGCACCTTGGTCATATCGGCGACAAGGCCTGTCTGGTGATCCTTTCATGAGTTAGGGTCCCTCTCGACAAGGACCTGGCGTGCTCTTACCTTCATCTCCAGGAAGCCCTCGCGCAGCTCCATGGACATGCGAATCATGGTGCCGTAGACGTCTTCCAGCTCCTCGTCGGCGATGCTGCCCTCGATGGGCGGAAGGGGGACATGCTCGGCAGCGGGAGATCCCCTTTCGTCCGCGTCGTCTTCAATGAAAAGGCCGGAGTCCTCGAGCCCGGCAGGCTGGCGCGTCTGAGTATCGGGAACGGCGAAGAGGGCGTAGAGGTTGTCGAGGGCACGCTGGACATGGTGTGCAACAGGCTCGACGGGTTCTTCGCGAGTAACCTGGACGGCCAGCTGCGACAGTCGGTTCAGCAACGCGCTTTGTATCTTGGAGGCGTGCTGCGGGCCGGCGGAGAAGGGACTGTCGGAATAGTAGTCGGAGAAGGGCGAGTCGTGCAGGACAGCACGGGCGGGCGGGGTGCTGGGACGACCGGCGTTGGTCGCCATGGCGGTGGAGGCGGGCGCGCACGAGAGCTGGGGGAGGCGGAGAAGGGTGTATGTAGAGCGGCGGAGGTAGGAAGGGGCGGGAGCGTGCTTTGAAGGGATTGGTGGAGACGAAGGCCCGGGCGCACGCGTCTAGGTGGCACTCGACAGTTGCTGGCCCATCGCCTGGGTGACGGCGGCCGAGGGAAGCGGCACGTCGTGGAGCGATGGCCGCGCACTGGAGCGGGACAGGAGAGGTAGAAGTAGCGCGCAGGGCTGAGGCTGGTCACAAGCAGCGGTTGCCAGCCCCGCCAAAACACGCGCCAAGCCTCGCCCTGACTGGCTCTGCGGGGGCAGGCTGACATCAAGCGAGCAGCGTCGCCCGTCGAAATTGTCGCGTCGGTGACTGGTCTCGCGTCTTCGTGTCTCCATCCCGCCATTGCTGCTGCACCTCCTCCTCAACCCACCCTTGCCTGTCTTCGCCGCATCTGGCCGGTCTATCATGGCGTCGCGAGTAAGCTGCCCCTCGCCTCCGCGCCCGTGTTAGCGGGGCTGCCGAGGAGCTCGCATCAGACCAGCTCGCCCGCCGCTCCCGAGTGCTGACCGCGCTTCCAGCCAGCCATCGAACCCTCTCTCGACACAGTGCGCGAAGTGCTGGCATCGCATGCACATACGCCGAACCCGCCCAACCTTGTGCCCGTGTGCTCCTCCATTTCCGCCGAGTTCCTCACGCCCACGTCCATCTACCTCAAGATAGCCCACAAGTCAGTGAGTTGGCGCTCTGCACACCCCCGGCGCTATGCTGAGAGCCTGCCAGATCCAAGTTATCGTTTCTCTTTGAGAGTGCGGCCACGACGGAAACGATAGGCCGGTACAGCTTTGTTGGTGCAGGTGCGTGTGGCCGCCGACCACATGCCGCTGTCTCTGACTCAGCCCGCAGAACCTCGCAGGGTGCTCAAGACGGGCCCTGGCCATGGCCCCGAATGCGATCCCCTTCCACTCCTCGAGAAGGAGCTGGCCAAGTCCCGTGTTGCCGCCGTGCCCACGATGAAGCTTCCACCCTTGACTGGCGGCGCCATTGGCTACGTTGGCTACGATTGCGTCAGATACTTCGAGCCCAAGACCAAGAGGGATATGAAGGATGTGCTAAAGGTGCCTGAGAGCTTTTTCATGCTGTTCGACACCATCGTCGCCTTCGACCACTTTTTCCAGGTCGTCAAGGTCATCACGTACATGAAGGTCCCCGAGGACCTCGATCACCTGGAGAGTGCGTACAAGGATGCCCAGGCGGTGGTTCGGGAGACAATCGCAAAGCTCAAGCGTGAGGACGTGCCGCTTCCCGAGCAGCCTCCGATCAAGACCGACCTCGAATACACGTCGAACATTGGGCGCGAGGGGTACGAAGGCCATGTTCACAAGCTCAAGGAGCACATCGCCAAGGGCGACATCATTCAGTGCGTGCCGTCGCAACGCTTCTCGAGGCCCACGTCGCTGCATCCCTTCAACATATATCGCCATCTACGCACCGTAAACCCCTCGCCCTACCTCTTCTACCTCGAGTGCGAGGATTTCCAGATAATTGGCGCGAGTCCCGAACTGCTGGTCAAAGCTGACCAGGGGCGTATCATCACGCACCCCATTGCGGGCACGGTCAAGCGTGGCAAGACGGTAGAAGAGGACGAGCGGCTGGCGGAGGAGCTGCGGAGCTCGCTAAAGGACAGGGCCGAACATGTCATGCTTGTGGATCTTGCACGGAATGACGTGAACAGGGTTTGTGACCCACTTTCCACGCGCGTCGATCGCTTGATGGTTGTGCAGAAGTTTTCGCACGTCCAACACCTGGTCTCTGAGGTCTCGGGCGTGCTGCGGTCCGAGAAGACGCGCTTTGATGCGTTCAGATCCATCTTTCCGGCTGGAACAGTCAGCGGCGCGCCCAAGGTTCGCGCGATGGAGCTGATTGCCGAGCTGGAACAGGAAAAGAGAGGGGTTTACGCCGGTGCCGTCGGCTACTTCGGATACGGTAGCGTGAACCAGAAGGGTGAAGAGGAGGAAGGGGCCATGGACACAGTAAGTGGAATGCCGTCCTTTCCCCAGTCGTTGTTGAACACATTCCATGCTGAGTCGAGGCCATGATGCCGTCGCGAACGGATGCGGACGGTACCTTGACGGCCGTCATCAACCCCAGACGAGGAATGAGCAACGGCACCACCTTGAAGGCTTTGATGGCTAACGTGAGATAGTGCATTGCGCTGCGTACCATGATGACCAAGGACGGAGTTGCATATCTCCAAGCAGGGGGAGGGATTGTCTTTGACTCAGACCCGTACGACGAATGGGTGGAAACCATGAACAAGCTCGGGGCGAACATGCAGTGCATCACGTCGGCGGAGAAAAAGCACCTGACTGAGCAGCAGGGCGCGGGCCAGGACCAGGTGGGCGGACAAGACGCGGCGCAGGCACACATCGACCTGGCGGCGGGCTAGGTGCGGAAGCCGGCCCTGTGTTCGAAGTAGCGTGCAACTAGATTAATCAAGCTCGTCGTGCAGCTCGCCGGACGCGGGAAGTGATGCAATTGAATGGGGAAAGCTGCGGTGAAGGCGGGCGCTGGTTGGCCGGACGGCCGGGAGAGCGCCGGGAGGTGGGCAGGCCGTGATAGAGCCGCGAGGGAAGGGGACCCGGCCGAGCTGAGGTTGACGACGGCGGCGGGGCGGCGGCGCGGTGGCTGCCCGGGGGCTGGGCTTGCGGTGGCTGGTGCCGAGCCGGGCCAGGACGAGCATCGGGCGAAACAGCGCTGGCTGCGGTGGCACCTCTGGGCAGGCATCGCTGTGCGACGGCGCAGGAGTCGACTTCATTTCCCGGCGATGCGACACAGGCTGTGGTGTGAGCCAAGGCCTCATGTCCCGTGCGTGAGTCGATGACGAGGCGCGTGGAGAGAACACATACATGGCGGCGACGGCGAGCGGTCTGGCGCAGCGCCTGCCTTGGACGCTCCCGTGCTAGCAGCCCAAGCCATCCGCGTCCAGCAGATCGGCGCAGGGGCCGGCGCTGGCCTGAGCGGCAGCCTGACTTCGCACGCACGCTGGTTGCTGCTGGCCGCTGCTGCCACTTGCAAAACAAGATTGTAGCTGCGGAGATGAATAATGACAGCAGCGGCGACGCTGCAGCTGCTGCCCGCCCATATAAGTCCCAGCCCGCAGCATCCCAACCCGCTCTTTTCTCCTCACCGTCTTCCGCTCCATACTACCTTCGTCCTTGCGATCATCACCTAGCCAGCATCCTACTGCCTGTTATCACTGGACCTTGTTGATCCTCCACCATGAAGTCCTTCGCCGTCCTCGCTATTGTCTCCATGGCCATGGGCCAGAGTCTCTCCGACCTGCCCCAGTGCGGTGTACGTCTTCCCTGCCTTGCCAATGCCTCTTGCCTCTCTGCTAACATGGTGTCGCAGCAAACCTGTATCAACAACATGATCTCCATTGCCACCAGCGAGTTCGGCTGTGCCCAAGGCGACGTCTCCTGCTACTGTAACAACGCCGACTTCGGCTATGGTGTTCGCGACTGTGCCAGCGAGGCGTGTGGAAGCCAGGACTCTGCCGCCGTCATCGCCTACGGCAACTCCTACTGCCAGGGTGAGTACCGGCCCGATGACTTGGTACAGTCCATGAAACTGACATGACGAAGGTGCCATCTCCAGCGCCGTCTCCAGCGCCGGCTCGTCGGCCTCGAGCTCCGCTTCCGGCGCCAGCGTCCTGTCCTCGGCCGCATCGACTGCCTCGAGCGCTTCGGCCTCGGCTACTGGTACTGGTGCCAGCAGTGCCAGCAGTGCCAGTGGCTCTAGCGGCGCCTCGAGCACCCCCATCTCGACTCAGCCACTAGTCGCGACCCTTTCCGCCTCTGGCACGACCATCACCACGACGACTGGCCTCTCCACCCTGTACACTGCCGTTGGTGGCGCCGCCGCCTCTGCCAGTGCAGGCGCTTCGAATGCCACCGAGAGCGTCGGTGCTGCCGCTTCGTCTGCTGCCGCCTCTGCTTCGGGTGCTGCCAGCTCTGCTGTTTCGTCGGCCTCGGGCGCTGCCTCGTCTGCCACTGACAGCGCCAGCGCCGCTGCCTCGTCCGCTACCGCGAGTGCCGGCTCCGCTGCCTCCAGCGCTGTAAGTACCCGATGGTGTCCATGAGCTCTTGCCAGTCACTAACACGCGCAATAGGCCTCCAGCGCATCTGGTGCTGCCTCGTCTGCGGCCGGTGCCGCCTCTTCGGGCGCTGCGTCGGCTACCGGTGCGGCTGCTCCCTTGAAGACGGCCGGCTCCATGCTGGGCGCGGCAGGTGTGGCCATGCTGTTTGCTCTGTAAGGAGCGACGCTGCATTGGTGAAGCGGAATGGGCGACGGTTTAATGAGATGGTTTCGGACAGTACATGAGCGATGGATCGGGTAGGAACGGGGTGTACCCCTCGTCCTCTCAACCTGCATTTTCTTTTTTTTTTCTTATGCCCATAACGACATCCGCTCAGATACCCTATAGCATGAGCGAGAACGACAACCCGTAATTGGTAGCCCTAGCTAAATAATGCAAGACGGCGAAGTAGTTTCCCACCCACTTGATAGTTTGACGCGCAATCGGGCATGTGTGAGGGGTACATGAGTTGCACGCGACAATGCCATGGCATCATGATGATGGCGGATCCACCGGGCAGGGAAGGAGCATGGATGGCCAGCAGGCCGACGTGGACGAGCTTGGACGGGAGGAGGTCCGGCAAAGGATTGGAGCAAGATGCAGATCAACAGCGAATGTTCCCCACACCTGGCGCTGCCGGCATCCCGAGCACAAGCTGCACGGCTCGAACCACAGAGCTGCGGCGCGGCTGCTACGTCATCACCACAAAAAAGCGGACATTTGAGCCGACTTGCTACGAGGACTGAGAGCGCCGGAAGCTCTGTATTATTGCATCGGATGCAAGGGCGATGTACATGTGGCGCAGCCATGGACGACGCCTGCAGCCGCCCTGCCTGCCACCGCCAGCGCTCACGAGGCGGGATCTCGCATTGAAAAGTTTCGGCGCGGAGCAATAATGGGCGGCGATTCCCTGCGAACGTGCGCCTTTGCCAATCAAGGCAGCCTCTCCGCAAGCACAGGCATCTCGGATGACGAATGTAGGGAGCAGCGTGAGAGAGGGATGGAGGGCCAGGCCCCCTGCAGCTGTCGATCTGACCACATGGGTCTGGATCCATGGTTAACGACCTCTACTGGCGCACCAGCGATGCCTCGTTATTGACACTGCTGACCCTTGACCAATGATCAAGTAAGACGGGTTTTCAATGCTCGATGGCTGTGGTGATGGCTCTTTTGCTCCAATAATCGCTACGGACAAATTGCAGGAGGCGGGGAAAAAATCTAATAGTTCCGGCGCCTCTCTATTGCACGCTTGCCGCTTCTGGCTGCTCATGCAACCCCGCATCGAGCGCATCCCAACCTCCAACAACAGCCGCTTTTATAGTAATTAGACCCTTGCGACTTGACTAGCTTGCTGCGGGTGCAACTCGGCTGCGCAAAAAGCCGCTCGGGGTCGTCGAGTCTTCCGATTCCTGGAAAACTTAAAAACATTGCAACACCGGAACAGGAGCTGAGGGTCCTGTCCGATCAAATTTGCGGCATCAGTAGTGGAATCCCAGCCCTGTGCTCACGCCGCCGTTGGTGTTAGATGACCATCCTTGTCATATTTTGCTCTAAAGAACGAATATGCCAGTGTGATTGTTTCGATGCCCTTCATGTTAATGTCGTCGACAAAGCTTGGGTCGATATAGAAGAAGACAGGCATGTCGACAGTTTCGCCCTTGTTCAGCCTTTGCTCTTCGAAGCAAAAGCATTGGATCTTGCTGAAGTACGGGGCCACCTGACCTGGAGTCACGCTGTACGTGGCCACGCCGATGATGTCCTCGTCGCTCTTATTTGTGGCCGTGTAGAATGCCAAGGCCGTCTCGCCGGGTAGGACGCGCACCTCGCGTTGCTGCGGCACAAATTTCCAGGGCAGCACGTCTGAGACGGAGCCATTGAATGTGATTCGAAGTCGACGGGCCGAAGTAACGGGCTGGAGGCGGTCGGCGGGGTCGCCGTCGAGGGAGGCGTGGGCGGCCGACTTGATGGGCTGACCACCCCAGCCGGTAGTTTGGCAAATCTGGAGACGGCAGAGTCAGACAGAGGCGTCAGATCGGCGGGCAGTTGTGCACACCATTTTATACATTGGCACGGAGCCGTACGACAGAGCAACGGTGCCGAGGATGATGCTGAGAGTGTAATAGCTGCGATGGGCACCATCAGCCACACGGGCACCTCAGTTGCAGGCACCGGGCCACACATACGCAGTGGAGCGGTTCTTGTTCCTGTACGGCTCGCGCAACTGCTCCATGGTGGGCGCGACATTCTGGGTGGTGCTCTGAGCAGGCTTGCCGGTGCCGCTGATGTTTCGACGGAGCGAGGCAGGCTTGACGCGCGAACGGAGGGCTTGGCGGGCACAGTTGGTGCATGTCCAGGTCGCAGAGAGCGGGGCGCGCGGCGCGAAGGCGCGCAGCAGTGACGGAGACGCACTCATGGTGGTGGTCTGGAGTGTAGGAACGCTGCGTCCCGTCGCGGTGGTGAGATAGGCGCTGCCGCCGCAATGACGCTAGCCGCAGGCGGAAATAGATCTTATCACACCGCCGAACCTGCCGATTGGTCGGCCTGCACTTGCTCCTGCACTTGCTCCTGCACTTGCTCCTGCACTTGCTCCTCGGGCAGGCATTTTGCATTATTCGGACTCGTCTTCACTTCGGATCCAACCCGACCCGGCAGGTCACGGCGAGAGATGCGAGAAGGCTGCATTTTATTTACTCGCTCGACTACCCGCGAGAATGTCGCGCATCGGGGACACCGCTAGCTGACTTCAAGGTGCCCAAGGTACCACCCGATCAAACCCATCGCATTCCTCGCCGCTTCGTTCAATCATGACGCATGCACTCCAGTCGTTCAGAGCTCCTCCATGTTGTCGCCGACGGTGTTGAGGCTGAGCGGACCCCGCTTGACCATGATGGTCATGACCTCGAACAGCGCGTCGGCAGCAGCCATGGTCGTGTGCTCGGCGTTGGTGTCGTACGCCGGCGCAACCTCGACAATGTCGGCCCCGATGAGGTTGAGGCCGTCGAGCCCACGGATGATGGTGCGGAGCTCGCGCGTCGACCAACCCCCCGTCTCGGGAGTGCCCGTGGCCGGCGCGACTGCAGTACAGATCAGCGTCCGCTGGTGCAAGAGCTTGGATCACGGCGGATACTCACAGGCAGGGTCGAGCGTGTCGATGTCGATGCTGAGGTACACAGGTCTCTCGGTGCCGACCCGGTCGCGGATCTTCTTGATGATGCCGTCCATGCCAATCGTGTCGATCTCACGCGCCTCGACAATCTCAAAGCCGCAATAGCCGTCGTTCTCGTAGTCGGAGAGCCCGGACAGCGTCGTGCGGATGCCGGCGTGGATGTTGGAGTCGTTGGCCAGCAGCCCCTCCTGAGCAGCATGGTAGAAGTACGTGCCGTGGTTGATCGAGGCCTGCTCGCTGGGAGCACCACCAAAGACCTTGGGCCGCCACGTGTCCCTGGTACAAGCAACCGTCAGTCAGTCCGACTCTCCAAGCCGGCAGCAGTGGCCTTACAGGTGGCTGTCGAAGTGAATGACGCTGACCGGACCGTATTCACGGTTGATGCTGCGCAGCAGAGGCAGGCTGATGGTGTGGTCGCCGCCGAGCGTGATGATGCGCGGAAGCGTTTTGCCCTTCTTGGACAGGCCTTTCATGTGCGAATTGGTGGCTGGAGAGCGCGAGAGGACGCTGTTGTGACCCTCCTCGATCTGCTTGATGGCCCAACCATTGTCGAACCTACATTGCCAGCGTCAGCGCCGCACCGACAGGTGCGGTGGTTGGGGCCACTCACGAAGTGACTGGGATGTCTCCGCAGTCAATGACAGTGGCCCAGCTGTTGAACGGGTTTGCGTCGAGGGGGACGTTGTATCCACCGCTAAAACCGACCCTCCGTGAGCCTTCGTTTCGCACCGACGGCAGAGGTCAGCGCACGCGCGCCAAAGTTTAACGTACTAGAGGTTGAGACGGCGGGAACCTTGTCTGATACCGCTGGGGCCGAAACGAGCACCCGGCCGGTAAGAGGTACCGGTGTCAAACGGAGCGCCTGCACGGCCACTGTCAGTCAAGAGCTTGGGAACAAGACCGGGCTCGACTCACCGATGAATGCAATGTCGTACTTGACGTCGTCGGTGGAGAGACAGGGCGAGTACTGGATGCGACCAAAGGTCGAGATGCCAGAGAAAACGGAATCGGCCTGGAGCGAGGAGAGTGGTCAGACCCGAGCCTGGAAACGGGTGAATGGAGCTCACTTGGGTACCACCGTCACCGGGCAGCGTGTTGTACCAAAGGCCCTTGTGCGGGCCTTCAATTGGCCGCTGGTCATGGCCATGGTCGCCGTGGGCGGCGGCGAAGGCTGCAAGGCCGGCGACAATGGCGAAGGACTTCATGATTCTCCTCAATGCACTGCGGATGGCTGGGATGGGAGAGGCTTGAGGAGCATTCAGGGCCGGCGACTTGAGGGCTGCTTTGTATGCGGCGGCATTTTCGCGTTAGGTAAGAGACGATGGCCGGCTTTCTGGGCATCTTCGAGTCCCCGCCAATGTGCTCGGCTGGCAGTCGGTTCGATTTTACTACATCGTCTTACACGGCAGCACGGCAGGCGGCAATTGGCTGGAGAGCGGCGGTGCGATAGAGCTTGTCCCGCATGTCTGGAGCAAGCCCCGCTGCGGCGGAGGATCGGCGGCAGCGCATGCAGAGCAAGCTCCCCATGAGCTGTCTCGCGTTACCTAACCACGTTTCTCACCTCGCTCGCTGTGACTTCCCAGCTCCTCGCGTTACCTAACCGCGTTTCTCACCCTCTGTCGCACGTTCGGTACCCGAGATCGGCCGCATATCGACTCCTCGGCTCAGTAACGTCGAGCTGTCAGGCCCCGGCGGAAAGATTGCGAGAGATATCGGCAAACAGCCAGCAGACGTCATTGCCGCGCCCGCCGCAGGCTTGCTCGGTCCCCTGGCTATAGTCGATAAGTCAGATCCATGACGCGCCCGTCAATGCTGCCGCTCGGCACCATGCCACGCGAGCCTGTCTCCAGTGCTCGCCAATGCTGTATCACGCCTACCTATTCGGAATGGTCTCGCTGATACAGGACAAACGCGAACATATACTTCTCTGGTGATTAATTTTACTTTTTCTAAACCCTGAAGCTCATGTACCTCCATCTACCGGGCCGGAGAAATCTAACCCTGAGCCCTGGAGCTCCTCGCTACTGGCTATCCTGCGCTCCGAGCTCTGCCCTCTCACCGTGATCCATCCTCTCAAATGCCTTTTGGACCTGCTTGTCCCAATCACTGAATGCCACAATCACCCACTCCAAAAAGCCCACCAGATAGAGCGCGATGCATTGTCCGATCCAGAGCCCGCCAAGGCCCCAGCCGTGGAAAGCCAGGTAAATGCCTAGCGGCAGGGCGCCGCAGTAATAGCTGACAAGGTTGACGGCAGCACCAACGTGCTGCCTTCCCATGCCCCTGAGCGAGCCTCCGCAGCTGCCGTTCAGGCCGTCGGCGATTTGGAAAAGAGCGACGTACGGCATGACCTGGGCCGTGAGCTTGACCACGTCCGGGTCATCGTTGAAGATGCGCGCATAGAAGTCCTTGACGCCCATCAGCACGGCCAGGACAAGAGCGCCCAGTATCATGCTCAGCCAGGCAGCCGTGTTGGCCGATCTCGCAGCCCCCTTGGCGTTCCGCGCCCCCAGAAGATTGCCAACGCGGGCGCTCGTAGCCACTCCGACGCCAAAAGGAATCGTGTTCATGACTTGGTCCGTCGTCATGATGACGCTCTGCGCAGCCAGGGGAATGGTTCCGAGACGGCCGGCAGCCAAGGCAACGATCTCAAACGCCCACCACTCGGTTCCTACGTGGATGACACCGAGAAAGGCGAGGCGCGAGAAGATGCGCAGGTTGGAGAAAGCCTGACGGGTCCAGCCGCCCCAGCACTCCCAGCCGTGGACAAAGCGTGCATATGCAAGCAAAAGCAGAAAGGACAGCCAGTAGGAAATGCCAGTGGCGAGGGGTGCGCCGAGAAGGCCGATGTCGAAAGTGTAGACAAACAAGTAATTCAGACCGGCATTGAGGGGGGAAGTGATCAAAAGCACATAGGTGCCTGGTCTCATGATCTCTGCGGCGGTGTTAGCTGGTTTTGGCGCGCGCACTTGACGGAAGATGGACGCACCTTGGGCCTGCAGATACTTTTTCATGCACTCAAAGTAGATGTAGCCCAGACCGCCAGGAATCAGGGCAGAGAGGAACCTGGCCGAGTCTCGGGCAATGTAGTGCTCTTGGCCCAGCAGCTTGAAGACGGGCTCGGCGCAGAGCCAGAGCACGGCGACGGGGATGTAGAAGAGAGCCAGGACGAAGAAAGCTCGCTGCAGGATGACGCCAAGATCATGCTTGTTCTTGCTGCCGGTGAAGCTGGCGGAGGCGAGGGTGTCGATTGCGGTGGTGCCGCCGAGGGCTATCAGCCAGGCGGTGGCCATGGCGAACATGTAGGAGAAGGCGGCCGTAGCCAGGGCCTCGGGCGACAGCCTTCCCACGACCAGGACGGAGATGGTCTGCAGCGAGTTCTGCAAGGTGTAGGCAAGGATGACGGGAACAGAGCCCTTGAAGAGAATCCACAGCTCAGCCACGACCAGCTGGGTAGAGCTGCGGTCCGTATCCTCCAGATCAAAGACGTCGCCCTCTTCGCGCTCGCGCGGAGGCAGCAGAGAAGTGCGCTCATTCGCAGCAGGCGGGTCGGGATAGTCACGGCGCATGAAGGCGGGCAGCCATGGGTTTGCGCGGGCGAAGTCGTCCTGGCTGCTCGCCATGCTGACGGAACGGACGGGGCTCGGGGGCGGGAGGGCGGCGGTGGCAGGCGGGAGCAGCGAGCGACGCCGTGATGGGCGCGGGCTCAGGCCAGCCAAATAGCTGGGGCCATGGCGCAACGGTGAGCACTATCAGAGCCGATGCGGAGCGTGTTGAGAGGTAGTCATGCAGCCAGTAATCCTATCGTGGCAGCCGGGGCGAGCGGCAGACGTCACGGCGCGGTGGTTGCGACAAGGGCATCGGGAGCAGTGAGACTGGCGTGCGGAGGCGGATGAGTGGCGGCATGGCGGCATGGCGGCATGGAGGCGAGGCTTATCGTGGGAGCGGTTGACTAAACGGCGCGGGTAAGGGTCGTCGGGCGGGAGGCGTGCGGACCGGCAGGAACAGCAGGAACGGCAGGAACCACCGGAGCTGCCTCGCTTGCGTGGCCCGGCCCAGCCTTTCCCGAATCGGCGTAACGATACCCGAAGCTAAAACAACGGAGCCCGCGGCGAATCACGTCTGCCTGCCACCGGCTGCGCTTGCGCTCTGCTCGAGATAAGCATCAATCATCCAGACGGACTGACGATAGATGATGAGCGGCAATCTTCACTAATCCCACACGACATGCCGCGCCCTGCCTCCAGCCGCTGTCTCCGCTGCAACCCTCCTCTGCCTGGGTCCCGCCAGCCCGCCAGCCCGCCCTCTGCCATCTGCCCATATAGCCCCGGCTGCCGCCTTGCCTGGACCCGTGTGCCGCCCGACTTGCTCCCCAGTCACAGCTCCCTCCGCAATCCAGCACCGCGCCGCCATGGACCCCGCCGGCACCCCCGTGGCGCCGGCTCCTGCGAGTGCGACGGCTGACGACGAGCCCAAGCCCGACACCAAGGGCGGCGAGGCCAACGAGAAGGGCGCCGCTGCCATCGAGACGGATCTGGCCGTGGTGTTGAGGGACGGCTTGACCCTCCATCCGCAGCCGACCTCAGACCCCCTGGACCCCCTGAATTGGTCCAAGGCCAAGAAGAGCACCATCCTGGCAATCGTCATGGCTCTGTACGTCGCTGCGATCCCCCAGAATCGCCGCCTGCGCTGATCACTTCGACAGTTACTTCTTGTTCACGTATCTGACGACGACCGTATGCGGGAAACCCCCCCCCTGCACTGGAGGCCGTAGCGAGGGCTGATCATGAAACAGACCGTTCCTTCCTTCGCTCTCGTCATGGAGCAGTATGGCATATCGCTCGATCAGATGAACTGGACCGTTGCCATTCCGGCCTTGGGCCTCGCAGTCGGCCCGCTGATCTGGTCGTCGCTGTCGGACATCTACGGCCGGCGGACCATCTTCATTGTTGGCACCACCATGGCCTTTGCATCAACCATTGGTGCCGCAAAGGCCCCCAATTACGCTGGATACATGGCCGCACGCTTCTTCCAGGGGCTCGGCGTTGCCCCGGCCTCGACAGTCGGCCTGGCCATCATTAACGACATGTTCTATGAGTATGAACGAGGCGAGAAGGTAGGCCTTTGGGTCCTGGCTCTCGACCAGGGTCTCCTCTTCGGCCCGCTCATCGGCGGCTTCATGAACATGGTGGACCAGTACTGGGTCAACTGGCTCAACGCCATCCTCTTCGCCATCGTCCTCCTTGCCGAGATTTTTTTCCTGCCCGAGACTCTATACCCGAGGAACCAGATGTTGGCTAAGATGCCGTATTGCGAAAGCGACTCGGCAGTGGTGGACCTGGAGAAGACTGAGCGCAGGCCGAGCATTGCCCAGGACGTTGCCTTGAAGCGCACGCTGCAGCTGCCCTTCCTGAACCTGAAGCCGATCCCCGGCATGCGTCATCCCAAGGCATGGGACTCGCTCGTCCGCTTCGTCCGTACCTGGAAGTATGCCGCCGTCTCGGGCACCATTTGCATCTACTCGTTCGGTTGGTACTGGTGGATCTTGTCCGTCATCACCTACATCCCGACTGCGTACGCCCAATACCAGCCGCAGATCCAGGGACTTCTATTCATTGGCCTGATCCTCGGCACGCTGTTTGCTGAGGTTTTCTGTTCGGGTCGCCTTTCTGACTGGCTTGTGAAGAAGTTGGCCAAGAAGAATGACGGCGTCAAGGTGGCGGAGATGAGACTCTGGCTTGCGTATCCGGCGAGCCTCGTCACTGCGCTCGGGCTGATCATCTGGGGCATTTCCATCGACAAGCAGTACCACTGGATCGTCGGCCAGATTGCTTTTTTCCTCTGTAAGTCTCAAGCTCTTTCCTGGACCGCGGGGTTGCTGACGGGCGTTGTAGTTGCGGCCGGGATCCAGATGGCAAACACAGTCATGGCGGCGTACGTCGTGGACTGCTACCCGCTCCAGTCGATGAGCGTCATCACCTTCTACGCCGTGGTCCTGAACTTCAGCGCTTTCGTAAACCCTTTCTTCATCGTCCCGTGGGTGGAGACATGCGGGTACACCTGGACATTTGCGGCGCAGGGCATCATCACCTTCTTCTTTTGCGTGCCGGCACTAGGTCTCATGCACTACTTTGGACCTGCGATCAGGGCGAAGACTGGACAACCCGGCTGGGTCAATCCTGAGTATGACTCCTTCATCTAGACCGGCGTCTCCAGGATGACGACGAGAGGTGTATGCACTTGTAGATAGACAAAGCAGCGTTGGCGCGGCGTTGTACAAACCAGCATTCTGGCGACGGATTAGCAGCTGTCTCTAAGTGGTGAAGGTGCAGGAGAGTTGCGTGGCACGGGCGCGGCGTTGCGGCGGCCGGGCGATACTTGTAGTTGCTCCCCTGCAGGGAGCATGCGGTCATATTGCTTACCTTAGCAGCCGTTGAATTGGCCTGGGGTGGAACTCGTTTGTCACGAATTGCCCAATCCCCAGACTTGGTGAGCGCGTCCATTAGGTAACGAAATGAGCGGCCATAACATGACTCGGGATTCGCCAGGGACTGCAAGTGGAAGTCTTCACCCTGTGCCGGGCTGACTCGCCGCTGACATGCTGCTGACATGCAGTAAGCTTCCTGTTCGATGCGGTCCGACGCGCGATAAGTAGGGCGCAATCCTTCACCGCGACCAATGACGTTTGCTGACTTCTTATCCCGCAGTGGAGCTTGATTTGAAGTCCTCCTCGTATGCCATTAGGCAGCCACCAGCTTTAAGATCGAGCCGGTTGCTCCATGCCCCCCGCATCTTGGTCTCTGTCTCGAAACGCGTCCATGACGGACGCACTTCCCACCAGCAGCCATGGTCTCGACGAGCAGTCGCCTCTTCTTCCACGGCATCCGGCCCCTTCTACACCAAAAGCCAAATGGAGCCCTGCAGCCATCTCGTACCTCTTTCTGCTGGTCATAGTCGTCGGAGTGGCCGCCGACGCCGTCTCCACACCTGCTCTGACGCGCATTTACGAGTCCATCTACTGTCGCCGGTACTTTGCCGAGCACGATCCGAGTCTGATTGGCCGTGATGGCCGTGACAGTGTGCCCGAGGAACTCTGCAAGGTACCAAAGGTGCAAGGGGAGGTTGCCATGCTGAAGGCTTGGCAGACCTTCTTCGATGCCGTCGGAGGTAGGTTGCGTTTCACCCCCTCGAGGAAGGTACTTACGATGCTTCAGGCATCTCATTCGCAATCCCGTGGGGCTGGTACGCCGACTCTCGCGGCCGGAAACCCGTCCTTCTTCTGACCACATATTCGCTGCTTGCCCGGGCCATATGGATTCAGATAGTTTGTATGAACCTCGCAGGTTGAGTGGTGCTGAACCAATATTGTCTCATGCAATGTAACAGGTCTGTGTTGGAAAACCCTATCCCTGAGGCTTGTGTGGCTTTCTGCAATCCACTCAGTTTCTGGCGGAGCCCCAGTCTTCTCAGCACTGGCATACGTTGTTATTGCCGATGTCACGCCCCAACAAGAAAGGTAAGCTTCACTCCACAGCGGGTGATATCGGGTGAACTTGCGACTGATCCGAGTAGAGGTGCCATGTTCTTCCGCTTCGGTGCTTCGCAGCTTTTTGCAACTTTCATCTCGTCGCCACTGGCCGCATTCCTCATGCGGCTAGGTCTGTTCGTGCCAACAATAGCCGGAACAGTCTTCTATGGCCTGATGTGCGCGTTGGTGTCTCTCATTCCCGAAACGAAGGGCTACTCCTCAACGAAACCCCCGAGCCGTGCCGGACCATTTCCCCCCGTGGAGTCATCGACGATGCGGGAGCGTATCAGGAAAATACCCGCTCACGTGCGCGACTCGGCGGCCTTCCTGTGGTCTGACAGGCGAATTTCTATACTTGTACTTGTGTATTCAGTGCACTCCCTCGTCATCGACGCAAACGAGCTCCTGATCCAGTACATCTCGGCGCATTTTGCCGTATCGTTGTCTCATGCCACACTGGTTCTTGCCTTTCAGTCTGCATTGATCATCGTACATCTACTATTCGTACTGCCGGCCATCACGCACTTTCTCACCGCGCGTCTCGGCATGGCTGTCCAGCTGAAGGACCTTTATTTGGCGAGGTGGTCGGCCTTGTTCCTCTCCCTGGGCTTGCTTGGAATCGGCATCGCACCAACCCTGCTGCTACTGATCACCGCAATTCCCTTCGAAGTTGCAGGCTGGGGCTTTACTTTTGTTGTCCGCAGCCTGATGACGAGCTTTGTCGAGTCGCACCACGTTGCAAGGCTTTACACTGTCCTCACTCTGGTTGACACCGCAGTGTTGATGGTTGGGTCGCCTGTGACCGCTGCACTCTTCGATCGAGGCATGTCATCTGGCGATGGGTCCACTGCTGGCTTACCTTATGTTGTCTGCAGTCTTCTAGTCGCTGTATTCGGAGTGCTGGTTCTGTTTGTTCGCATCGAAGGAGAACTGCCGGAAGAAGCTGTTGACGGGGATGAGGTGACTAGGAGGGAAGATGGACATGTGTAACCAGCCATTTCATTGTTAGCTGTAGAGGAATGCAGTCCAAAACCTAACCAGCTCCCTCTGCTAGGAATAGTGTAAATATGTCAGGACCAAATCCGACTCCGAGTGCTCAATCGTAGTAATAGGGTTGCGAATATAGTACGGCTGGACTCAGCAGCTCGTTTATGTAGGGTGCAATAATCTTGTAGGAGAAGGATGTGGGACTGCGAAACTCTCCTGCAACTCGTGGTACATTCTACAGAAGGTGCAAACCGCGATCCCGTAAGGTTGACCGCATTGCGCTTTGGTTGCCACTCGTGAACAAGCTTTGGATGGCACGTGAAATGTAAGTGCAAATGTGGAATTTACTTCAATGTATATTGGGTATAGTGCCTTATAAAACAGAGCTTCAAGCTGCTGTACCTATGTACATGAGGAATATCCGGTCAACATGTGCAGGGATGTGGTCGCTACTCGAAGGGGTAATACGAACACCTGCAAAAGGCCAACAGGAGAAAAAGAAGAGAAGGGAGAAGGGATATGAACAGGAAGAGCGATGTGACTCGCAAGCCCGACCGCATATGTAACAAACCGGCCCCTTCTATTCAGAGACACACGCCTTTTTTTTTTTTTTGATTGAACTGTGCATCGCCGTATGCGCCTCCGGCCATGCAATGACCAAAAGAAAAAAGCAGATGCTTTTGTTTTTACTCGAATGATTCACCATAAACCGAGCCAGCGATCCACACGAGTTGATTTGATTCATTCAGTCATGTCCACGTTACCACTGTGTTTTTTTCTTTTTATTGCCGCCCCCCCAAGTATTGGTATTTTGATGTTTGTGTTGGGTTGTTGCTGTGAGCGCCCCACCACCGTCAGTTTCGCCCTCATATCAGAATGTACTCGCCATCCATTCGGTCCATGGCCTTACGCCATCTGAAAGCTTGCTTGCTGACGCCGAGTCGTGCCGCCTCGGCTGCTACTTCGGCATCACCGTCGTTCCTGCCCGCATCGTCCTCGCGCCACGTGCGCTCAAGGACTTCCAGACCGCTCAAGTTGTTGAAGAAACCACTTTCGCGCTGGATCTCGATGCAGCGCTGGCGGACGAGGGCGCGATGGTTCTCATCGACGCATTCGGTGCCGGTGATGAAGAGCGGCCACAGCAGGAACTTGTTGACGCAGCTAGTAACGCCAATTTGGCTGATGTGGAATAGCGCCTGTGCGACCAGGTTTTGGAAGTTGAGGGCTGAGGACGGCAGGTTGGGATGCGCTAAGCGCTCCGTGTACAGCAGTGCGCTGTAGCGGAAGCTCTCGCTGATGTGGAGGATGTCACGCTGATCCGACGGTAACGCGTACGGCCCTGCGTCGCACATGGCGGCACCGCGGCCCGTAGGCTCGAATTCCCATTGTTGCAGGCGGTCACGAACATCCCGCCACTCGGTCCAGAACTCATGCCGCTGATCCGCGTTGACGATGTCCAGGGGGTTCTGGTGGTGCTGCGACGCAGGCGAGCCCCAGCCGTTGCCGTCGAGGCGCTCATAGCACTGCATACTGTAGTAGTCGCCCCCGCGGCGGTTGTGCGACGGTGAGGGTCTGGGCGTGCTGTCAGAAGGCGAGCTGACCGGTCGGTTCTGGCTGAGCAGATTCAGGCGCCCAAGGCGGGCGATCAGCTTGAACAGACGGCCCTCGCAGCCGGCCAGGTGCTCGAGGGCACCGAGATTGGTCGACAGGTCCATCATGTCCAGCCTGTCACCCTTGATTTGCGTTTCACGGTCATTTACCGTCGACGTCATGACGTCGAACCACGTGAAAAACATCTCAATCCAGCCGACGAAACCCGACTGCGCGCTGCGGTCCCGCATATCCAGCAGCTTCTGCACACCGGCGAGCTGGGTGCGGAACTTGGAGAAGCCGCTGTCACAGACATGGAACAAGCATAGGATGAGGAGCGTCGCGAGCACCGAGTCGTCCTTGGCGTGCACCGGGTCGGCGAGTTGGGCGTTGAGGAGCTGGATCGACGTGGTTTTGTAGTGGACTTCTTCGGCCGACGGCTCTCCGTGCATCTCTCTGATCTCGGCGGCGGTGAGGCGGGAGTAGACCCAGTCGGGAAGAACGGCCATGTTGCTGATGCGTCGGCCGTTGCTGAGGCCAAGGAATTTTGCCTCGGTGCTTTGGCGCATGCGGATGTTGTTGATGGACAAGGCTGCAATGGCATTCTGCAGCCCTTCGCTCTCCCGAGCCAGAGGGACAACGTGCATGCGGTAGGGGTTGGAGGGGCCGTCGAAGGCCACGAGCACGGGGCATATTGCCCTGTCGTAATAGTCCAGCAGGAACTGCATGCGGGGCGAGAGGCGGCGGGGCGGCGGCGGCGACGGGAGACGGGGCACGGCGCCATGCTCAGAAGAAGAGCCATGGTTCCCCGACGTAGGGTCCGGAGGAGGTTGCTTGCTGCCACGGCTGTAGTAGTAGCCTGGAATGTGCGCATTGTTAGGTCCCGCTGCTGCAGCAAATGCGCCGGGGAAGAACATATCTGAGAAGCCTGACTGGCTGTATGATGCTGGTTGCATTGAGTTCAACTCGGAGAAATCCTGCAGGCTCTGGTCGGAGCTGATGCTCGAGCTCAGGTCCTCGCAAATCATGGGGTAGGAGCGCGGGGCGTCATGGAAGACCAGCGACTCGGTCGAGCTGCTCATGGGGGTGCGCTGGTGCATGTAGTGCTCGTTGTACGACTGGATCATGGGGTCGGCGTAGGTGAAGTCGTCCGGGGTGCCGGGAAACTCGCTGGGGGAGGGGTAGTCGCCCAGCACGCTGTCGCTGTAGGAGCTGAGCGGGCCGGTCGACGTGGACAGGCCCGTGTCGTCGTAGGAGCCGGCGAGCGAGGTGTGCAGCTTGTGCAGGGGCTTGACGGGCAGCTGGGGGCGCGGCTTGCGGGCTTGGGGCCCGCCGTAGCCGTCCAGATGCTCTCCAAAGCCGGGCAGATGCCAGCCCATGTGCTGCGGGGCGGGCGGCGGGATGGAGATGGGGCTGGTGGCGTCCAGGCCCGGGTACTCGTGCACCGGCGGGCTGCGGATGGGCGAGGGCGACTTGACGTCGCTGCTATGGCTGATCTGGCTGACCTGGCTGACCTGGCTGACCTGGCTGATGTTGCTCGCGCGGCGGGCCTGCTCGTACGACGGGGCCTGCGGCGGGCTGGAGACGGCGGGCTGGGCGGCGCTCTGCGGGACGGGCTTCGCTTGGGACATGCTCTGGGCGCGCTCCCGCGCGGGCGGCGACGACGGCGACTTGGGCACGGGCAGGCTCATGCCGCGCAGCTTGCCTCTGCTGGCGACGCCCACGCCCCAGGTCAGCGTGGTGCGGTAGCCGGAGCACTCCTTGCCCAGCTCGATGCACTGGGTGCAGTAGGGGCGGCGGCGGTCGCATTTTGCCTGGCGCTTCCGGCAGGTGAAACAGTCCTCAGTGGCACCCGTGGCGGGCGCTCTCCTGCGGCGCTTGCGGGGCGCGGCGGTCGCGGCGGCGGTGGTGGGCAGAGCAGCTTGCTGCTGCTGCTGGGCGGCGGCGGCGGCGGCGGCGGCGGGCGAGGACGATGAGGGTTTGGGCGGCGGCGGCGGCGGCGGCAGGGACGACATGACTCTTGAGAAGCTTCGCTCGACGGGGACAACCTAATCGGCAGGATTGACGGGGCGGAGGTGTAGATCCAGGCCGTGGAGGATGAGAGCTATTCTTGAGGGCGTCTGGCGGTGCATTATTTAGAGGAACAGGCGCCTGAGATAAGATCAACACCGGGGGCAGCTGCGAGCGCCAAGCGCAGCTGTCGCGCGGAGGGAAGGAGGATCTGGCGGGCAGTTGGAGAGGTTGCGCCCTCCCTGCGCGGCCGTGGCGTGAAGAAGGGGTGCATATCAACCCCACACAGCGGTGCTGCGTAGGGTAACATCGCCTTAGCTGCGATGCGCGGATCCCACCAATGGCGCGCGTGCCTGAGCAGGCCGGTTTGGGCGCGACGTCCGGCCAGGGTCGCCGGCAGAGGAGCGCTGAGGGGCGCTGAGGGGCGCTGAGGGGCCGCAGCCGCTGCGCCCGCGGCGCGCCGTGCTCAATCTCGCGCCCTGCGAATCAGCGCCGTGTGGCAGGCGGACCCGGCCGATGGCGCCCAACTTTAATCACCCGCCTGCATGGAAGCCGTTGGCCGAAGCTGCGAGCGAAGTGCCCGGGGCTTCTAGCGCCCTTCTGCGGGCTGGGCCAGCCAGTGCCAGCCAGTGCCAGCCAGTGCCCGCCAGCGCCCGCCCAGCCGCAGCGCGCAGCCACAGCGCCGCCCCTAGCCTGCACCGCCCGCCGTCTGCCCGTCGTCATGGCCGCTCGGCGTCGCCGCGAGCGCGCTCTGAGACACGCAGCCAATCGCGCGCCGCAGCCGGGAGCCGCGTGCTGGGCCTCTGGCATCGTCGATGTCCGCCGGCCTATCTGCGCGCGCGCTGCTATTCTGGCTGAAGCGGGCGTCCCGTGCGCGCGGCGCGTCGATAACGCGAGCGCCAGGCCGGCTGATGGAATCAGGCAATCGCGCCGTCCCCAGTGTCCCCCCAGCGGCCCCCCCCAGTGCCCCCACGGCTGAATGAGTGCGAGCAGGCCGCCGCCGATCATGCAAGCCACAGTAGCAGCACTGGCGCCTTCCGAGGTCCAGCAGCGATCCGGCGAGCCCAGATAAGGGAGCAACAGCGCGCCGTCTGCCGTCGCTACGAGTAGGTAGCGCATCGCTTGCACGGCGTTCATGCATAGGAACTGGGTCCGCCGCACGTGAGCCGCAGCCCTGGCACTACACCTGCAGCCCGCCGCAGCACCCAGCCTGGCTGGCGTGCGTGCGTGCTGCCAGCCAATTGCCCGTCCGCCCAGCGCCGAGCAGCCAGCAGCCAGCAACCAGCAGCACCACCCCACACCCGTCGTTGGAACGAACCGTCGTTGGGAACCAGCCAGTGCCAGCCAGTGCCAGCCAGTGCCAGCCAGTGCCAGCCAGTGCCAGCCAGTGCCAGCCAGTGCCA